CCAGTTTATATTTATAACCAAATATATGTTTTGACAAGACTTTGACAGTTAAAACAAGAAGGGGCCCGGGTGGATTTTTTGCGTATTTTTTCGCCTTACGTTTTGGTCAGTTTTTCTCTAATATACAGGGTGGCGCACCTCATTCGCCTCGGTTGATTATACGAAAACGGAAAGATGTAGAAACAAAATATTTTATGAGTATATGTGGGGAGGTAATGTGGGGGGCACAATTTAAAATTATTTTGAAATGTACAGGGTGTTTCAGAACTAAGATCTATACCAAAGTTATATTTTTTCTTACGAAACACCCTGTATTTTATTTCATTTTTGGATTCTTGGGCCCAAAAAAAGTTATTAATTATATTTGGTTTTTGAAATATCTAAATATATTTAAAAATGCCTGCTACATTAGAATAAATTATTAATACCCTGTACTTTGCTTTTCAGAACTAATTCCTGTGCTGACTTTTAAGCCAGAGAAATAAACTTTACTGAAAAATTTGATTGCTTCGTTTAATGTATACAGGGGTGTCAAAAATTGCTGGCCTATTATAAATACTTATTTTACTCTAAAACTTCGTTATTTCAAATAGAACACCCTGTATTTTTTATAATAAATCGAAGCAGATTCAAATGCTCTTTCAAACTATATTAGGGTTTCCTATACCTATCTAGCTCAGATTTTGAATAAAAAGCGATTTTTCAATAAAATGGCGACAAAGATGGCTGATGTCAAGTTTCTTCTTTTCCTCTGACAGTTAGTTATTATTATTTTCAATCGAAATTAGTTTATGGACTATCTTTAAATTTATAGGAGTTAACTTTTATTTAATTTGCCTACAGTAGTTTAATAAATAATATTTATTAAATAATGTATTTATTATTCTATCAAGAAAAACGAAGAAGTAGTTCTTTCATTTATTTTACGATCACTTGTAGATATATGGATTTTCTATAAAACAGCCAATTACGGCAAACTCATTTTCTTTACTTCCAACGACAGGTGTCTGCCTAATAGGTTTTTTATAAACTGCACTACCATAGCTCTGCGAAATAGAAAAGTATTTTTTCAAGGAGCGCTTATCGGGAAGATTCCTATTGGAATATCTTTGGGCATATGTCCTTGAGGCTAAGAAGCAGTTTTCTGCATAAAATAAAATCACTAGTAACATATCCATTCGTTCCGCCAGCAGATACTGCTTTATTTTTCTTGATAAAATAATGAATAGGTACTTATTAAACTATTGTAGGTAAATTAAGTAAATTGTTATATATCTAAATAATAATGTTCATAAACTAATGTCGATTTTGAAAATAGTTACTAACTTTAACTAGAAAATTGCCATGACGACACCAGCCATCTAGATTGCCATTTTATTGAAAAATCGCTTTTTATTCAAAATCTGAGCTAGATAGGTATAGGAAACCCTAATATAGTTTGAAAGAGCACTTGAATCTGCTTCGATTTGTTTAAAAAAAATATAGGGTGTTGTAGTTGAAATAACGCAATTTTTGACACCCCTGTATCCATTAAACGAAGCAATCAAATTTTTCAGTAAAGTTTATTTCTCTGGCCTAAAA